TAGTATTCTAAACTCCAAAAAATAATGATGCTAGAAGTATTAATAATAATATCTACTATGTAGTAAAGGAGCCCTGGTGGTGCAATTGTTAAGCACTCAGCTGATATCCGAAAGGTTGGCAGTTCAAACCCACCCATGGCTCTGCAGGAGAAAGACCTGACCATCTGCTCCTGTAAAGATTACAACTTGGAACACCTTATGGGGGCAGTTATAATCTGTCACATGAGGTTGCTATGAGTCAAAAATCAGCTTGATAGCACCTAACAACAACACCATGTAGTAAGTTCTTTATATGTGCCAGCTATTGTGCTAAATTCTTTTCATATTCAGCTCTTTAAAGTCTCACTCAACCTCTACAAGGATGCTATTGCTATCACAGTCTTTCAGGTTGTGAATCAAGCTCAGAGAAATAAACAATTCACCCAAGACCACACAGCAATGACCGCTAGAACTGGGATGCAAACTGGGGTCTCATTGAATCCAAAGCTCATCTTTTCTCTTCCATCCTCTAATACTTTTTTCTTCTTTCATTCTAGTAGAGTTTCCACTTCGGATATTTAAATATTGACTCGGACAAATTAAGGAGAAAAGAACATTTGTGCCCAATTTTGGTAAAAAAGATACTTACTCTGCACAAAAGTGTTAGAGATGAGAGGATCTTTGAGAGAGACTTTCTCCAGTTATGTAACAGGAAACCCCAGACAACTGTATGCATGCGTTTCTTGGTAACATTTTTTTTTTCTAGTTAAAAGAACTAAAGTTTTCTAAGAAGCCAGATATGAAGATAGTAAAAATATTTGGTGTCAAGGTTCTGGACAAAGTCAATCCTTAGGACATGCAGGTGTTGTGTACATTATTGCACTTATTACACAGATTGGGAAACTGAGGCTCAGAGAGGTCAATCTACCAGCCCATGTCATCACAGACATTAAGTAGAATTTACACTCCAATAAAAATTCTTGAATTGAAACCCAGTCATCTTTCCTTTGCATAGACTTTAAAGTCAGACATCAGTCCCTGGTCCAGCTATACACAATCTCATTGATGTGAATTTGGGATACTTGCTGCACCTTTCTGAGACTCAGTTTCCAAATTAGTACAGTGGAGAGTGCCACTTTTCCTCATAGGGTTATTGTGAGGATTAAATTAAAAATATAGCTGCATATTTGGTGGCTATAAAATTTGAGACTTTTATAGACGTTCAGACCAGTGTCAGTCCTGGTGGAGTGGACCTGTTTTTTGTTCTGATCAAGGACTCTTCATTAGCCTGCGAATCAGATCTTGGACCTGTCCTTGGGGCTGAACATTTACTCCCTATGAACTTGGGTTTGGCTCCTGGTAGCACTCACTGCTCTCTGCAGTCTTAAACGACAGTCTTAC